ACTTCTGTTTATCTAGCTCGATGAGGAGTTCGCGATACACGTGCTACTCGGACACTGGCGCCAAGGGCGTCCCTCTGTGTTTGTTGATCATTCTAACGGTAGGTACTATTTGGTCAGTAGATAAAGTTTTTCATTTCCGCGAAGCGTCTCAATTGTGATCTCGATGTAATCGATTTTTCTGATGTATTTCTGACCATCTTTTCGTCGGGCTCCAGGCGAAGAAACTGTCACTCCAGCAGATGTGCGTGCAGCTTTCGCGGCGAACGCGCTAGATGTGTGAAATCTCGAAACAAAGCGTCTGTATGCAAAAACTTTTGAGGCAGCGTGATTCTGTAGACACCGCGTTTCTCTCTCTAATAAGTTTGTGGTTTTAGACTGGTTTTTGTGGAAACCGCTGGAGGTTGCTACGAAGACGACGAACGTAGTGATGCTACGACATCAATATATTCCCTCACCTTCGAAAGAAAAACCAGATAATCCGGTTCTTATGAGTCCATCCTCCAGAAACGGACCTCACTCCGTGACTTACAACCGTTTTTCACCAAAGGCGTTTCAGCAGAGCGGTCAGGAACGAAGCAGCGCTTGGTCGAATCCACCGTACTCGCCTTCGGTTGTCACTGACCCGTGGTTCGAGAACGCCGTGTTCGACGGCAGCAGAACGATGAGGAACGGCGATGTGAAGATGTCACCATCTGAGAACCTCTCTTCGGTGCGCAACAGTGTTCAGTGTAAGTTGCCCGAGAGCGGACTGATCAACATACAGGCGGAAGGTAACTCGAATATCCTGCTTATGCCTCACGTCGCCGACCAGAGCACGTCGAACCCTGGCTCAAGGAGCGACCTGGTCAGTCGTCGCAACCACGAACAGACTTGTTACGGTTTGCTGTCTCTGATCACCGTTGGCTTTCCGGCAGGCATCATGGCTGTCCTTTCGTTAATTCTCTTGATATTCGTGAACAATGGTGAGCTCTGTTTCGTTTGTCTCTGTCTGAAGCTTTTACTCTTAGCCAGCTGCAAGTGTTGCTGCACGCGAGATCGCATGAGAATTCGTCTGTCCTATCACACGTGGTCTAAAGGAAGAGCACGTGAAAACTAATGAAGCGATAGCACAGTAGTGTTAGGATAAATGTCGTGTCACCTCTTAGCATGATGTACTGGTACATTTCAGAATTAATGTGTCTCTGTATCGACTGAGGGAGCGCCTCGTTCCTGAGAAAGTACAAACACTGTTTGGTCGAAATATTTGCAGCCGGTCTAAATCGCAGAGCATCTGGCCCAGCGTGGCATCTGTATCAAATTTTGTTATGCAGTATTTGCGAGCCGGAGCCTGTGAAAGCTTCTATTTGTCTCTAGAAAAAGGGCTATTGTAAAATGGGAGGTACCATGTTTGTTCATACAAGAAAGAATGTTACATGGGCAAGCTGATTCAACTGTTTTACGCTTTAGTACTTTCGCAGGTTGACCATACAAATTCGGGTTAATGATATAGGTTTGCGTTATAATTAAAATGCTTTTACACAAAAGGAATTTTATTTCTTGCAGCAAAACATGCATAGTAATAAATTTTTAATAAACTAACGCAGAACATGATTGAATAAGATATTTTCCATCCTACGGAAGATTACTGGCCGTAAAGCTAAGCAATATACAAGAGGACTTCCGGTCAAACGAATACTTCAAGTCCTGAAAGATCTTGTCAAGTGAAGCGAACGAAGGTTCCCGCTGACGAAATCAACATTGCCTTCAGTCTGTCCAAAAAACCCCAGATCAATTGCAGCAGAAATGGTTAGTAACACGAACGGTCGACCAGATCATGACCACATCATCCCTGAACCAAAAGTTCAGTCAATACCAAGAAAGTGGCAAGTAGCGCAATGCAGCTAGCGCTGACAAGCGACCATAAGTTTTCAGGCATATCGCTCGCCAAATGTTTAAGTAAACTCCTTCCAGAAACATTAATTTATCCCTTTGTCCTATCGTTTGGACAAACTGGCAGCGATCGTTTGGAACTCAGTTGGAGTCTAAATGGAAGTTATTGTCGGTCGTACGCAAACAAAATTCCCTGGTGACTAGTTCCTCATTTTAATTGATTCTTTCAAATATGCTCGATATGCGTACAACGGTCTGTCGGTACATACACGCAAAACGTTTGGACTTTCTGTGTTGATTATTAATGGCCTTCCTGTTCGAATTCGTTTCGTATTGCTTTTAAAGTGAAGGATAAATAGTAGGTGATTGCGAAACCTCCTTTGCTGGAAGTGATCACGAGTTACGTCTAAACCGGATAAGTAGAAGTGCATCTGCCCGTATCATGTGGTATTTTAAAGGCTTGAGAAGACAGTGTTTTATTTTAACGAACGTTGTAATCTGAGACACTGTCAGATTGGTTGGTCTTATTGCTCAGATCTTTAAACATGTCCATCTTGATGATCAAAGCTGCCGGGTTCAGTATATTGTGAGCAGTTGTAGATTTGTATGGTAACGACGTGACTGCCAACAACGCAACGTCGGTAACTAACTAAGAACTGAACTTGGTTGAGTTTTAGGACCTCGGGTACCTATATTCTCCATTAGGTTCTATTAAGAGTGTTGGTGAGTTTCGGCTGAAACCTTTTCACTGAGTATACAAATAGTGGCTAATACGCATAGGCTGCGAGATAAGTTATGCCACTAATATTTTCAGCGTCCTAGTTGCAAAGTTAGATATCAGTATCTCCTAAAATCCTAATTAACCTGATGTCTAATTTTTACTCGTTAGTTTCGATAAGTTTTATAGGCGTGTAGGCGGTGGCTTTTTTCATCATGAGAAATTGTTATTAGTCACATCATGGTAATCTGTCCCCAGACCAACTGTCACATGCCTCCATGTGCAACAGAGTGAAAACTTTCTCCGTATTAAACTTATCAACAGGGTTTTCCACTGGATCTCACTAATAACGTTTAAAATAGAATCGGAGCTTAAGCATACCTGCTCACCTTTTTCGACGAATCGACTTCGCTGCTACAAATAAGCGTTTACAAGTTATGGCTGAATAATGAATTTAATTAACAAGAGATGCCACTTTGTTGACTCTGGGGAATTTCACGGATAGCATACGAGCATAGTCGCCAAACAAACTTGTTCAAACTGATTTCTCTGCTTTCCAGTCATCTTGCCCTCTATTCAATTATTTGACTTTGCAAGAAGTTGAGTCAATTTCATTTCGAAAATGCGTAATTCCGATTTGACATGACAGTTTCGAGGTCGATGTTGAAAGTCTTCGATGGTTTGCATTCTCATGGAAGAGCAGAAAGAATTCTTTCACAGTAAACTCCTCATTTTCGACGTAACGGAAGAGAAAATATCACTCGGCATTTCAACAAAGGCAATCAGTTTGGCGTGAAAGATGTAAGACATGACGGGCAGAACTTTGTTAGGAACCGCACAATCAATGAACGGAAAATTACTCGCAAAGACTCTGAGATAACCAAAGTTGCAAAAGCAGTTACTTATACATAATATTCTGAACTGTCATCAGCTTTCTGTATGTAGATATTTCATTGTTTTGTATGGCTGTAGAGTAATATTGTGTAAGTGTGCATTTATGCTGATAGCAACACTTTTTTGCACAGGCTAATGAATGTAACTGACTGAAGATGCATTAATCACGGATTCGCATTCTGACCCAGTACCATTTTTATAGTATTCATAAAAATGAATACTATGGTCCTTTCTATTCTGGTTTATCGTATCACCTAATTCGAATGCTGCTAGTTTTGCCACCATCGCATTTCATGAATTTTGAACTAGCTTCAGGGAGTGGGGTTACTTTCTAGAGGATTTTCATGCATGTAAAACTTAGTCAAAGCTTAACGTAAACTGCATTAAGTCATTTTATGTAAAAGAGTTTCCTTTAAGTGAAATAACTGCTCATGCTCGGCCAGTTGGAGACTCTTTTAAACTCTTAGTTGCCTCCTGTTCTATGTTAATGAGCAACCTCATTTGGAGCAAAGATATAGTATCAGAAGAGCATGAGGTGTTACCCCGTGAGACAAAAGGTCGAAGTGTTTTAGCCGGTAGTATGCCATAAATCGCCGTACTACTATCGCAAGATTTGCCTGTTTTATTTCTTAATTTAACACCTGCTGCCAATTTCGCTCTGTACACATATTGGACCAGCGTGTTGCTGAGGGTCAACAATTGTCTTAGCATGAGGAAATTTTATTATTTTTGTCGAATATTCTTGGGCGAATATTCTGCTATCAGACTTTGTGAATGTGCCGCTCGTCGACTGACTGATCAGTGGTTCAGCTGTTTTTTTCTATAGTTTATGGCTCGGTCATCATCACGGAACGTTCCATCATGGTGCTTCGCGATCTGTGCTCTTCGTTCTGTAGCGTCACGCTGGTTGGCTCGATCTGCTCGATCATGTGCTGTTTCATGGAGTGCTACTTTTGTCTGAAGCTGATGAAGCTGAGGAAGGACGCGACGATTCGGTATAGTAGCGGTTTGTGCCAGTCTGTCGTCGTTCCCTACGACACTTCGTGTAGAGCGGCATCCAGCCCGACTAATGCTAGCCGCTTTTAGGATCGCCTATTACCGCAACGAGTCGCTGTACCTAAGGTTCTTTGCCATTGGTGGCTTCTTCGTCGGCGTAGTCATGTTCCTGTTTGGTAAGCCGGCGGTGCCGCTCTTCTGTCTATGCAGTATGCTTCAATCGGCCAATCGGTCATGCTTTTAGCCGTACTCATGTATGTCCATCTGGTCGGCCAACGGCAAGGTTCGACTGTCGCCACGACGTCAATAAGCGTCATCGTGTCGGTCGGCATACTGTTGTGTTTGTCGATTTTCGTCCATGGCGTCTACTCGTGGCTGTGCGGCACGCTACAAAGTACTCACGACGGAGGGAACGCTGACAAGCTCGTATTTGACAAGAAATACTCCACGCTGGTGTAATTTTGTTGTAATAAATTGCTTCGTTTTTCGGGCTGTGATTACTGTCTGTGTGTAAATACTTTGTCCGCTTTGTTTCACCTGTACAGGCTTTGTGCTAATGACATCACCACCACTGCTTCTGTCTTTATGTTATATAAAACGTTTGTTTCGTACTATAAAACTGTTCTCAAGAGAAGGTCTCTTGTGCGTACTTTGGAGGCTATACTGAAGTGCAGTATAAAAACAACGTAAAAGTTTGACAGACTGCTACCGATCTTCCGGCTCGAAATACATTTTGTCGTTATAGATTTCGTTGGTAACATCTGCTTTGCGTCGAACTGTAGGTATGTCTTAACAAGCTTGGCCCTGTCGTACCGAACTGCAGTAATGTCAAACCAGTGAAGAAGATAGTTGCTTCGTCAAAACGGTTTCAACGAACAGTCATCATTATCATCAGTTATCGTCGTTGTAAACGAAATTAGCGCCTTGATTCTGAAACCATGGTTCAAAGAACTAATGGTTTCAGAATCAATGTCTTGACGCTATTAATGACGTCGAAATGCATAAGCATGATACCGAAATTTTTGTTGTAATCAACTAAACTTTTTATTAGACTTACCGATGAGATTATCAAGGGCGAATGAAAGACAGATGTCATTTAGGAATGAAAAAGAAAGTTTGTCACCATTGGAATGTCCGTCTTCATTCACTTCCACGATCGGGTTATTTTGGCGCCTTTCCTTAAATGAAGTTGATGACGCGGTGCTCCTTTCCATTTCCATATCATCAGCCAGAAACGCCTGATTTGAAAGGCACAGACCACCGCCATGCGGCAAACGTAGCGTGTAGTCTCTTGTTTCCTTCCCACAGAGAGGTGCTTAGTAATCAACTTCGGAAGGAAAAAGGGAGTGACCCTGGCCGGGGCTTCAACTCGAGAATTAACAGTTCTGAATTCGGCGCTCTACCGACTGAGCAACCCCGGTCTGTTATTTAAGGCTGACATATGGATAATAGCTGTCTTTGAGTGACAGCGTAAAGAAAAGGTCAGGCATAGCATCTCAACCAGTATAACGCAGGACCCACCGTCGGAAGATCACGGACTGAGTAGATAAGCGAGTATCATTTCAGGAGAAAGAAATAGTACAGTGCTTGCAACAAGAACAAAATGGCTACATTTGCCGCCTGAAAAAATGATTCAGACGATAGGTTTTCCGGTAGATGTTGCACTGAGCCGTAAAATCGATTGTAACTTTAGCCGAGCTTCCGCGAGTGACCTCGCTGACCCGTTTTTGACCGATTAAATGAAACTAGTACTTGACGAACGAGTCTCGAAGGAGCAAATATTTCATTACTTGGTTTGATGGAAAAGTCACTCGCAAGGACGCCTTGCAGAATTGCACAAGATGCATTCATTTTAACGCCAAAAGCTTATATTTTTAATCACATATCTGTTTTCTACGCATCCAGCCACGGTGTTGACGCTGTGAAAAATTATCAACGAGAAAATTAAGGAATATGAGAGGGCCAACGGACGATCGAGCGTACCCTTCGTAACCATAAAACTTGTCGTGAATCCTTAGCCGGCTAGCGAAGCCGTAACAATCATGCGTTAATCACATTTTGGAAATGCTTAGCTTTAGGAGAATCACTCTTCAACTTGACACTCAAATGGAAGGACTGGAAGCTATCGTTCGAGTTACTTACTGGAAATAGCATGATGAAGTCATTTCTTCATGCCATTTATTTTCTGAATGAAGACTGATCTTCTGCTGCAAGAAGGAAAATCTGGAATATGCTGAGCGGATGGTACATGGCAACGAGGGAGAGATAACTCACTATCATTTCAACCAGTTTGGCGATCAACGTGATCTTATAAAGTTGAAACGGAGGTCTACACTGCCCCATGAAATCTATTAAAGCGAGGTGGCACAACTAGCGTCCATGGTGGAAGTGTAATGAAGATCGACTTCCAAACCATTATAAATTTCAAATTTCTTTCGTTTCCATAGCAACTTGCATTAAAAGTCGCAAATGCCGATGTCTGGAATCAGCAATTGCTGGAGATCAAGTTGACGAATTTCATCAGTAACATCCAGATAAATGACCGATATGCCATACCTCAAGTACAAAATTGCATTACTCTCGAAGCTCAAGCATCTTTGAACGAATAAGATATAAATCGAAAGAAGTCCTAGCTCAAAGATGATTAAACCAATCGCGGGCTGGAACCGACCACTAAAGCTGTTATTCACGTGTCGTATGAGTGACCCCCACCGCTCCACCGTAACTCACAAATCACATGATTATAGCAATAGCCAACTAATCTTTTTGATATCACAGGCAGTGATTCGTGATTTGACTTATATCAATGCATAATCGTTATGATAACGGTTCATAATAAAATACGGGTACAAACAATTTAAAAATCAGGAAGGGCGTCTGACAGGAAGACGCAATAACACATCTAACCTAAAGAGGTTTCCAAGATATTTTGTTGAGAAAATCAGGGACTGAATATAAACCGGCATTACTAGGTCACCTTAGTTTGCGGACATCATTCTGATCCTCTGCAATGCATCAGAAAAACTCCAGCGAAGAATCCAAGAGCTGATCAATGCAAGCATCAAAATAGGGCTGAAAATGAACCTGACGAAGTCTCATATCACGTTTAAGAAATACTATATCACGCGACTTGTTGAGGTCAACTAATTTAAGCTTGAATAAATATAAAATCACGTCTATATAAATCAGTTCATCTCTGCTACAGAAAACCGACTGCGTATGGTCAATAGAAGAAAAAAATGGCCTGATTTTGGAACAGGGAAAATGCTCTTATCCGGGAAACTATGTCTGTACATGAAACAAAAAGTATTCGATCGATTTATGTTCATTGCTAACTTATGGGCGCGAAGCGTGGCCGTAGGTCGCAAAGCCATTCATAACTGTAGATCACCAAGGCAGTATGCAAAACTGCACATTGGAAATAACAATATAAAATAGAAAATTTAATGAATGGGCAAGAACGTACGTTCGAGTCTACGATTTCGTTGCATGAGCGAAGTTGTAGTGACAATGGGCAGAGCACGTTACAAGAAGAACCTAAAATCGCTCGACCAAAGATGCATTAGATTGGGTTACGAGATACAATAAACGACTGGCTGAAAGACCTCTAAATCCGTATCAGGATGAACTGAAGTAGTTCGCTGGATTAATGTTAATGAAAATTGCACAAAGCTGAAGTCTATGGAAAATTGCACTTTCTCTTTTGATACTGAATTGAAGCGGCGTAAGTGCACCGTTCCCTTGCTTCTAGTCGTCTAGGGACCATTTTAGTAGGCCATGACTCCATGGTAATTGAGCACCTGCAGTGCATGGATGCAGAACTGCATCCCTAGGCAGGACTGAACAAAGGCCTGTTCAGACACTTGCGGATATGCCACGATCCGAATGCAAATTTATACATAAAAAATTGTCGAACAGGTTTTTATCTAGTAAAAGGCTGATGATGACTGTAATGATAAAATATCTTTATCTTTTATCACGAACAAACTTAATTCTTGACGATTTAGACCAAGCAACAAATTTCATGGTTTTGACAATATTCACCAAAGCAACGTGCAGTGAATGCAGCGGACGGTGGTAAACTAATTGCTGGGTTGATCTAATTCACTTCAAAAAACCGCTAAGAAACATTAGACTCGCGAGTGTGAGGTGCAACCAATCGACGACTTGTGCATATAATGAAGTGGGTGCTTGTGGGGCAGCCACTGGACATCGCGTTTAAACGAATCACTACGAAATAAGATGAAGAGAACGAACACCGGTCACAGGACACAAGACGTGGTTCGAAATAAATGTTCAGCGAAACGATCGCCGGACAATTCGACCGTTCAGTGATTGGGTCGGTCGGAAGTTGTTCACCAGTTGCGGGTGGCTACTGTCGATTCGCTCAATCGGCATCGACAACAACGAGCGCAGCACGTTCATCTATGACGACAGGTCAAACAGGCGGATAACGACGATACACAAAACTGCAACCATACCTGACTAGTGGACACCTTCAGTGGGTGGCAGAACACCGTCCATATGACGCACTCGCAGCATGGCGGCGTCGTCAGCGAGCCGTTGTACGTCCAGTAGTCCTGCTTATCTGAAAAAATTTTTTTGTTCGAGTGAAACGAGTTCAATCAAAGTCATACAGTGCTTCAGAGTTAAGTAAGGGTCACTGTCTACTCTTTAGCGAAAGCTGGTGCTCATAGAACTCTTTTGGTGGAAGATTAATTAGAAGAACTAGAAACACCTCGCAGTGACAGACGGGTGCAACGAAGAATATAATTATGCCACAGCAGCGAACAACGCCTAATATAGTTTGAAATATAATTTCCGCTGAAACATTAAACATCAACAGTTTGAACAACATCACTGTTAAAATGTTGTTAGCCTTAGATAATGAAAATAACAATGCGAAAAGTGCTACGCATACTTTGCATCACATCCGAAGGGAGATGATGCGTACTGAAGAGCCTTGAGCAAAGAGTTACCTAATTATAACGTAGCCGACAATGCCTAGCAATAAACTTTTTCCGGTTCCTCTTCGTTTACTCCGAATCAACTGTTCTGCACACCTTCTAAACTGCCCTGATTTTTACCCGTAATTAAGCATTACGTAACGAAAGAGAAGGTCAACCGAAGAATGCTACGATGTAAGCTGATCGTTGAGTAAAGGAGCACGCATGATTATTATCATACAACTGGCACATTGTGCCAAGAATTAGATGAGAGAAACGCGGAAAAATCATTAGAGCGATGTAAGGAATTTGCATCAGGCCCACATGCATATCAACAGGAAGCAGTAACGACAGCGAAAATTTTCGTTACACTGAATATGGCGTCATAAGTGGTAGACGAAAAGCCTACGTCATGGAAACTTCAAGGCCGTGAGACAGAACAAGGAAACGAATGATTTTCCTCAGAATAGCGTATGGAAATAATTTAACTGTAGTGTAACGCATTATGAAAAATCAAGTTATTTTGCAGATTGAAACAGAATGGTTCCAAAGAAATAGACCGCGCAAAAGGAACCACAGTGCTTGAGCACAGTAGAATGGATAGGCAAAAAATCATCAGAGAGGAAGTTCCTTATTTGTCATCTGGTCATTGTTCTCGCTGCTATGCCACAGCTGCTAAAGATAACCTCATAGATGACTAGAGCATGCCGTGTTCGCGGGGCCGGGGTCGATTTCGCTCGAGGTGAAGCCATTTCTTATTCATGAATCTAATTTCTTGTGCAACGAATTTACCGCAGATTGCTTCAGACCGGAGTTGTTCAGCCTGTAGAGTGTCAAACTCAGAATTGAGTGGTTCTGAGTTAAAATCTGGTCAATTTCGTTTACCCTTCTTCCTTCCGACGTTGATAAACTGGTGCCACTCTGTGGGAACGAAACAAAAGACTACACGCTACGCTTTCCACATGACTGTCGACTCTGCCTCTAAAATCATGACATTGTTGGCTGATGGCATAGAAACGGAGATCAGCACCGCACTGCAAATTTAATGAAAAGAAGGCGCTAAAATGGCCCAACTACTAAAGTGAAAGAAACCTGACATTCTTGCACTTATCCGAAGCTAGAAATCCAAAAAGTCTTACTACATCTCAACGTGAAGAAGGCCTGCAAGGTGGATCGAATTCATTCGAAGTTAATTAAGTAATCGTAGAAAAGTTCCATACCCTGCTTCATGAAACATTTTCAAGTAACATGGAGGTGTGGAATAATTGCCTCTATATATTAAGGAGGTCGGGTGACCGAGTGCTCCAATTATTGTGTTATCACATTGCTGTCAACTCCTGAAAAACTTTTCTCCTTGACTACCCTGGAAAGGCCGAGGCACACAACCGATGGGAGAATTCGCCCGATGGAAGGAGGCATCCGGAGTGGGTACTCGTGCCTGACCAAATTTTCACTCTGCTCAGGACCAAAGAGCATCGCCGGCAATTCCATTTACCTTCATTTGCAAGTTTCCTCGACTCTGAGGCTGCATTTGATTCACTGCGTCGTCCGACGATGCAAAAGTTCAAAAATCTATGGGATACTTGAGAACATTATTTCTGTCGTGAAAGAGACGCATGAAAGAACCATGTCCGCTGGCAAAGTTGAAGGAAAACTTCCTAAGTGGTTTCCTACCATCTCATGAGTTCGACATGGATATGTGCCTTCGCCTATGATATTCAACATTGCTCTAGACTTTCTTCTCCAGAACAATGCTGACTTTAATAAGACCACTGCACAATTCTAGATGCCCGGTCTGATGTTTTGCTGACCTGAAGTTCGTAGATAATATTGTTTTCGTGAGTAGTACAGGAAGTGGACTTTTGGAGCTTGACAACTTTCTTATGCTGCAGGCTGCTAAAGCCAGCCTGCTACTTAACACCCGGAAGTCAAAAGTTATGCGGAATCCATTTGATGCAGCTGATCTACAAGTGGAACAGTGAGGTGAAGCCCTTGAGGAGGTTGACCAGTTTAGGTACCTCATTTCCGTCGTGGTACTATGCAGCTAGTTAAATAGGGGAATCGCCCTTGCCTCAAGTATTTTGGGAAACTTGGCCAATATTTGAACTGACAAAGGAGTTACTCTTTCCAAGAAAATCCGTCCCTACTTTGTTTTGCCAAATCAGTGTTGTTGTACGGCATTGAGTCAGTTGTTCTAAAGAAGAATCGAGAACGACGGTTGAACTGCGTAAAGTAGCGTTGGCTTCGAAACATACTGAGGGTTAAATGGCAGGACCACGAAGGGAGTAGCTATCTTCTCCTCCTGGCAGAGGTGACCTGAATAGATGTGGAAATTAAGAAAAGGAGGTTGGGCATATTAGGCAAACTGATGCATACATACACAATTTACTCCAGCCAGCGAGCTTGTCGCGTGAGAAAGCAGTGACGTTGTGACAGTGCTAGAGCAGGCCATCAAGCGGGTTGCGATTCAACCATTGAAAGTTAATTACAATTACTCGAAAGAAACCTGACGACAGAAATCTGATATAGCTAGTGTGCCGTCATTAATTAAGCGTACTGTCAAGCCTAACGATGCCGCAGCGGATTGCAAACTTTGTCGATACGTGTCGTTTCTATCAAAAGAAGTTGCTAGCACTCTGTTCCTGTTTAGGATCATTCACCAAACTGCAAATTTTAGAAGTCCCACTCCTCACTTCAATCACTGGTTCAAGCTTCTGTTTCCGAAAGGCAAATGTAGAGATGAATACGCTTTCTAATGCAAAATCCGCTCTGTGCTACATTACGCTCTGCTTTACGTTATGTTTCTAAATGAAGCTAAAATTTCTGTCTTATTTTCACTGGTATTTACTTTTTGTTTGGCTTGACCATGTCTGTCTCATGCCTGTGCATTAAAAACTGGGATTCTTAGACAATCATATTCAAGCAGTGGTTTTAGACTCCATAAAGATAAAAAATTTGTCGATGACTTAACCCATGTGTGGCCTGTTGGTCTAGGGGTATGATTCTCGCTTCGGGTGCGAGAGGTCCCGGGTTCAAATCCCGGACAGGCCCGTATAGTGTGATTTTTCCCGCAATCACAGTTCTCAATAACAATATCTACCGAGTGAACAATAATCAACAGTAGATCAGTACCATACTCAATCGTACTTTTGTCGCTTCGCTGATAATTCTAAACAAGCAGGTACCGACGCTAATGGGCAAGGTATGAATGCCCGCGTTCTCTTTCGACGCCGTAAAGCTACGGAAGTCGAAGTCTAAACTTTATTGTTTGAACAAAGAGCCTACTTTTACGGCATAGTTAAAACTGTATAAGCGAGCAAATGCAAAGTTGTGACCAACGTATCCTACTGATCGATGTGGTCAAAGTATCCTAACGATCCCAATTACAAACAGAACGTAATATAAAACGATGAGTAATTTAAGAAAAGACAGATCCCACGCTGTTAACTTTTGCCCGCCATCTTAAGTCAACAGAACATACAGAACCGACCGCCTCTCAGAACATCGGGGTTCTATTTTGTTACTTTTACGCAGCAGAGTTATCAGAATTTATGTCCGTCAGTTAGAAATGGCACATTAAGTTGATATTATGTTAGGCACCGTTCATTGTTGTGGCAATGGTCATAATCTCCATCGCAAGCAGGTCTGCGTTTTCATCCAAGGCGTCGGCGGCCAGTAACGGTCATTATATGCGAGAAAGTTGTTGAACTTATTCTCCTTCATACCAAACCAATCAAGGCACCAGTCTTTGACTTCATCTGATAGTTTTCTCAGACTGGTGCTCTTCAGTACCTGCTCGTTCGTGAACGGGTGTACCATCGACATTGCGTCTATTTTACAGACAGCTTTTATGGAAGTTGTTGATATGAGTGTCGTAAAGTTTCAGGAAGCTATACATGATGTTGCCAGACCGCGTATAAGCGCCGCTAATGCCGCTGCTTTATGGATTGTGTATCTTCGTATTAGTTCTCATGGTTCGATTCTTCTCCGCCATGGCCGGTCCCAAGCCCGGATGAGAAAGGGGGAGGGTTGGAGACCGTGGCAAGTCTCCGTAA